TAGCTTCAAAATGATGGTGTTCCAATGGATTAATTCAAATGTTTTGGGGCAAGTACATTAAAAAAACAAAACAAAACAAAACAAATCTAGTATCCATGTGTGTGTACTTCAGCTTCCCTACCTCCCTGCATAAAACCAAAATACTTTCCTCTCTGCAGTTTTACGAAAGTTAATTACTTGATGTTCCTTAAACAGGGTGAATGCACTATGTATCGCTAAAAAAACCCAACCTCAGAGGTAAGTTTTCATTGCCTAAAGAATCTGAAGACAAAAAATGAGCCTTTATATTAGAAAGGTTGACTGCTATGTACAAAACTTTCTAGTTAAATGGAGAAAAGGTTAGCTTTTATTCATTTTAAAATAGCCTGAACTGAAAGAACTTCTCACTATAGGGAGTAAATGAAATTTTGTCATCTCAGACATTAAAATATTATTTGTTCAATGTTTGAATTGTAATTATTATAAAATAATTAGTAGATGAATCTACTCCAAACCTATTCAGCAGTAGAAGCTGAAGAAGGATTTAGCTATCCGGTGAGCTGGATGACGACGAAGCATATGTAACAGCAGCAGGCTGGGATCTCCTGCTGGCTGAAGAAGCAAGATTATAGGTTTTAATTTACAGAACTTTAAATCACCTTGGATTGGCTCACCCCATCCATTGTGCCAAAGGCACAATCATCACAAAGAAGTGTTACAGTTGGATTGTCTCCTTTATAAAAATGAAGTGGACAGCTAGTAGGTGTTCCTCGAGAGACTTCTAAGGCTATAAACCTGCTCCATTCCTCTTTAGATCTGAAATAGGTCAAATTTGGGAATCTTCCCTACCCTTCACAAGGAAACCTGTACTGTGCCAGATTTTCAGGAATTACAGCACTTGGGGAGAGGTATTATTTTTGTAACAGTGAACAGGAACAAAAGGGTGTCTGCAAGCTGAGCTGCCGTTGGCAGGATTCTTTTAATGCTACTTAAATTCTGTGCAGAAATTATGAAATCCCTAAATCACTGATTATAGGCTGAAACCAAAACACATTAACTTAGACCAGTTCATATCTATTAGGCAGCACTGTCCCCGAGTCACACTTCTGGCTTCCTCTGGATTCCTGCTACATTTCTACGTAACTACCTTTAATAAAAAGCAGTGCTTTACTTGGTAGGTCAGAGACGTGAGACACTATCACAGGCCTGAGGAAGATGCAGTTTAAGATGGAAGCACTGAGAAGCAACAGCAGCTCTTACTTCTAACGTTGTCACATCTCATTGTTCAGGCATTGATGTAATAAATTTTTCTGCTACCCATCATCTAGAAATATTTTACTGTGCTACAAAAAATACAACCCACAACAAATACACCAGAAGCTCTGGAAGCTCCCCTTCCCTTCCTAATTTTACTCTGTGTCAGTATTTATTAGATGTAGCTGTTCCTCTTTCACAATGGGAACTCTAACAGTCACTATTTGCTACTTGGAGTCAAGTATTCAGACTATAGCAGGAGCATCAGTGACTAAGTTTCTTTAAAGGAAGTGGGCCTCAAATCATATTCCAATCATTTCCCTTTGCAGGAAGGCTTTATTAGCCTGTAACTGCTGCCCCTTGAAGCAGGACAACTTCTTCTGCCACAGAATATATTTGTAAGGGTTAATTCTACATTCTTCAGTTATTAGTCAAAATAAAACACAAAATTATTAGTAGCTTGTTCATTACCATAGATCTTCACATTTATTTTCTAAAATTTCAAATTACCAACTTTCAAATGCAATATCCACAAATTTTTTGATAGATACTTGACTCCCCGTTGCCATTTCTTTCTGAAACCAGAAAGTTACATTTTGGAGCCTCCATTTCTTAGCATTTTATCAAAAACAGTTTTGAGCCTCGGTATCCTCCAATCCATCTAAATTTTCAAAAAGTCCACCTCCCATTAATGTTCTTTAACAATACTGTTGGGAACTTTATTATCAAGTTATCTGCTGAACCAGAAACTGGCACTCGTTCATCTTCCCCAGCACTCATCTCGTCTATGACATCGAACGGAATCAACTAATATTCCCAGGAATGTTATGCTTACTGAGGTTGCAAATTACTGGAGTGGGACAACAGAACCTCTCTGATGGACAGTCTCAGAAATGACTGCAAACATGTAGGCTCACCCAAGGCCTCTCACTCCTCCTCTTGCTCCAGGCAAGACTTCCATTAAACCTGCCAACCTTCAATTCACTTCTCGAAGGGTCTCTTCAGCTAGCTGTCACTGCTCATCTCTGCTAGCAAACTCTATCATCCACAAATGCGTACCTCCAGTTTCCCCTATTTCCTGAAAACCTGGCCTGTGACAATACTTGTAACCTGGCCGGCTCATCTGATCATTCCTGACTACAATCAGCACAATGCAATTAATTAACCTGCCCAGACCTTCTCATCTGTTGTTCCAAGAAAGATTTCCAGAAGCCACATTTTTAAGGTTTGATGCTCAATCTTTGTAATATTTTTCTTCAATTTCCATTGGTCAACTATAAACGTCTGGTAAACTTTTCCTCTACAAAAGAACTCAACATTTAAAGATTCAGAGCTGAAATGGAAAGTCAAAGCACAAGCTCTGTTGTCAGTTATTTTAAATAATACTATGCATGTATGCAATTTGCTGCTAAACCTTGAACCCAAACTGCGTATCACAGTTCTGATAACTAGCCCACTCTTAAAGTTCTCCACTCCACCCCTGGGGGCACTTGTCTACGTGTTTCATTTTGATTCAATGAACAAAACAGATCTAAATTTCTCTAGAACCTAGGCTGTATACCCGACACCAGTACTGTGCTTTTCATCAAGCTCCCATAAATTGTTTCTGCTACTAAGAAACAGATGAAGACTTTGGGTACGCTTCTGATAAAATGTCTTTGTCTTATGGAAAACATATATGCATTACGTGCTACCGTGTGTTTGACTTCCTTGTGCTCCTCTAATACCGTTTAACAAAACTAATACATACATACACAATTTGTGCTTAAACTCTGAAATTCAACAACACATCACACCTTGGAAAATTAGCCAACTCTGCCTAATCCCCCTCTTCGGTCATTACAGAAAGCTTCTACTATATTTTGAATGACATCATAAGTAATTACATCTATTCAAGCGTTTTCCTTGTTTCAAAAGAACCAAAAGTCATCTTAACAAATTAATTCTAAAGAGCACACAATTTAAATATCTGACTATCCCTCTCCAGTTGGCCACTCTGCCCTCCTATTTCTTATGACTAATTACAACCTGTCAGTCTAAAGTATGTAATTATCAACAAAAAATATATACATACAAAGACTTTCTAAGTAAGTGCAAAAGATATACTCTTTAAAGTCTAGTATGATTGTTGGGACACTGCAGCATAAGAAAACACTTGTCATACATTTTAAGAATTCATCCAAAATAATGGTGAAAACATTACAATGTTGTAGCACTTTTTCTTTCTGTGATGAACAGACTTTGTTTATAAAGGGGTATATACGTTATGACACTATATTCTGAGAAGGGAAATCTCTACACAGACCTGAAGAACCTTGTTTTCATAATACAGACTATGGTTTTAAGAATTCATCTTGGACTATTCATGGCACTTCAAAAAAAGGATTGTATGGTATAAATGAGGACTACAGTACAGTATCTAGAAAATTTAAGTTTACTATGAAATGATACCTGATAAATGCCACGTTAATAAAAAACTGTAACACAACAAACTGCCTCTAAGAGACAATGCAGTGTCTGAAAGCAACAGGAAGCCCTAGTCGGATGATCTTTTCTGACAAGACAGTACAGATCTTAGAAAGAAGCATCACTCTCTCCTCCAGGAAACTAGGTTAAATATTTCTGAATCTCTGCACAAGTATTTTAAGGAAACAGAAATCTGGATAGTAGATCAAAAATGAAAAATAATCACTGGTATAAACGTAGACTTTAATGAAAACGACTTGATGGAGATTGCATTTAAGTGTTCAATTTCTGTAAAATTTTATACATATATGTTTGCTTTTAAACTTGACAAAGAGCAACATTCACCTTAGTGTGGGTCCACAGGCTCCATCTGATTACATTAAAAAGGAATGTGACACACACACAAACTCTTTACATAACCTTAAACTTTACATAACACAATACAGACCAAATCCTATTAATTTGCAGTTATTAGTACTGATCAAATGAATAAAATGAGCAGATGTTAGCCAAACACCAAAATACCTCAATCCAAAATAAGGATATGATTTCAGCATGTATTTTACTTTGTGGATATCAGCTGGATTCAACAACTGCATGTAAAGTGTCTAAGTTTGATTACAAGCGTAAAAGGAGAAAATTTTGATAGATGTATATACTAACTCAATCCAAAAGCAAACCAGAGGCAAGCTTTTGATTTCATTTCAGTACATCACATTAAAGAGGTTGACTAATTCTCCTTTTTTTCATGCTTTAAAGCTGTGGTATCCATATAACTGTAAAGTACCTCAATAGTTTTAGAACAGAGTAAAAAATGCAAAATAATGAATAATTTGTAGTAATTTAATTATCTGTCCACTGCACTAAAACTGAAAATTTGCATGAAAACTCTTCTAAAATATTATGAGTTTCATGTAGGTTATGCAGACTCATATGAAATTAAAAATAACTAAGGCAGTTATTTATCCATTTTTGTTAAAAAATTAGGCCCAGTATCTGCACTTTTTCCCACAGCATGGAAAATTAAGCAGATTGGTAAGGAGGAGATCCCTGACAGAGATTAATTTCTTGCTATTTTGGTTGTTTTTGTTATGCAAGGACAGTGTCAGAACGTGGTCCTCTCTTCCTTCAGAGCTTCAAAGGGAGAATTACTTAGACCACGAGGGAAGATAAATGAGATAATGACAAGGATTGTATCTGTTGATGTTACTCCTGATATTATAAATGCCATGTTTCCCACTCTACATTTTAAAAATGCTTGTATAGCTACTATAAACGAGCCTTGCACAATAGCTTCTTACCTATAATGCTGTTTCTGCGTAAACAGTATTGATTCAGTGGTAAGTGTGGAAATAGCAAAGGCACAGTTGAAATCCTCTACTCCTAGCAGTGCTCTGAAAAGAAAAATGAGACATTGCTGGGTTTTAATTCTTCTCATTATTCCCTAGAAGGAAAGTTATATTTGTGCTGCCTCTAGGCAAAGTACCATCCCACATGAACAAAAGAATGAAACTAAGATCACATCCATTTCATCTTGAGGCTGCTACTCCTGCACAGAAGCTATCCGCAGATGCTTAAGTCCCTGACAGTGTATCTTCAGTGCTCATATGTCACAGTAAATGATTCATTAAAAATGCATAGACAGATTGATCTTAGAAGAGGGAAAAAAGATCTGGAGTCTAAAGCGAAAGGAAAATAGAAACGAAAAGCCAAAAAGTAGAAAAGGGGAATGCCCCCCAAATTCATATCAGAAAGGCATGCAAAACGTTTTTAAAAAGAAAGAGGAGACAGAAACTGTGTTGACATTTAATATGCCTACTTGGGATAAAACTCATCCTTTTACTAAGAATAAAAGCAACTGCCTAGAGAAAGCCCAAAGCCCTTAAAACATTTTGCATCAAGTACCTCACAAAATTGGTAGGCAATTTCTGCTAAGGTCTGTACAATATTTGCACCAAGCTACCTCTTTTTTTTTTTTTAAAAAAAAAAAGGTAAAAAAATGTAATTAAATGGGAACGAGTCCCTAATGCAGATATAGATAGCTCTACTGATATTGTGCCTATAATGACATAATTGAAACAATATTATGGTGCTGCATCCATGCAACAGAACTGTTTTTTACTGTCTGCATAGCAAAAATTAGCATTTTTGTTTCTTTTCATAGGCCATATTAGGTAGGTCTGCAGAGAATGCAAGGCTTATGGGCAGCACCACTGGGGTTGAAAATAGACTGATGCTTCTGGAGTGGTGTGAAACTCTGAGCAGGCTCCCTGATACTGGCTACCAACAGTCATCCTAATTCACGTACCACTTGCCGTGCTCCCATTCGGCCTCAAAACTGAGAAGGACAAGAGAATAAGATACGCTTTACTCATGATTCCTGTGGTCCCAATAAACACGTGATTGACAAGACTAACCTTATACTACTACTGTTTTTCTAATATTTCCTGGATGGCCAGAAGGCTTTACTCTGCTAAAGGAATCCTGCAAGCAAAAAAACCACCCATGCTTAAGCATAATAAGCTACTTGAGTAAGAGACACCTCCTTACTATGACATTCATGCAAATGGTATTATATAGGTGACATTTTTATTCTATTTTTATTAAAAATAATTGGTAAAATGGGAATATGGACCATAATTTACATTCTGTCAGGAAAAAAAAATAAAAAATTAAGCCAAATACCTACAATGGGAAGTGTATATATATATATTCACACACACACACGTACAATAGCAATATTTTTAGCTATAATTTCCTACTCATGTGGCAACATGACGAGCATTTTGAAGAAGCTGAGCCAAGTGAAAATACAACCTGCAGAACAGGTCACGTTTAAATATTCTGCTATTGAAGAATATTAAAAACTACAGATTAAGTAGGAGTGTTGTAATACTTACATTAATTAATGCTTGTAAATCATTCTGAAATACTTGGATAAAAGATGGCATAAAAAGTGTTGCCACATGTCTTGATGCTTCTAGATGTGCACAATCCCTTACATCTTGTTTTGCTTTTTGGATGTTTCAAATCATCAAAAATATCATCACTGGATGACTTTAGTGTTGGGAAGTGTTTGAACACAGCAGAGAAACACCAAGGATGCCCAAATCCTGATTAAGAACTCCAGCAGATACCTCAATATAAGTAGACTGAAATATCTACATTTCTTCCTGTCTGAATCGAAGTGCTAGTGGTGGCTCACCAGGTCTAGTTACCCATCACCTCTATTGATCAGTGAATTAGCACAGCTCAGACAGCTTGGCAGTGTTATTCAGCCTTGACTAGGCTGTATATTCACACATGTGAAATATCTTATACCTAATATTCCTTCCAATCTAGTACCAGCTAGTATTCACATCCCGAAAACCAAAGACCATGCCATCAGGCAGTCTGAAAAGGAAGGCACCTAGAATCACTCGATACCTGTCTGGGGCTAGCGAACAACATAATCAGTTTTCAGAGAACTTGCTACTTCTGGCTTATGCAAGCCCAGGCCTTTACAAAATACAGAAATTAAAGGCCAGCATGAAGGCCCTTACGCTTTCCTGCACTGATCTCCAGATCTAAAAGACGTGCCTTCCTTTTTATTCAGAGAAAAGTAACATATTTTATGGCATCCATTTAAAAAAAAAAAAACACTGTAAGGAGTGTCACCAAACCCACACAATAGCAGAACCACTGTCCTTAAGGGGGATAATTTGTTGCAAAAGCGTTCTATCTCGAGGGACACAAAGTACCACCACTACACACATCTTCTCCCAAAAGGTGAGAACTCCAGAAATTATTCATTCTTCCACGTCCCAAACCGAGCACACGCGCCGCTTTATACCCACACTGCGGAGCCCAGTTTGCTCTGCTTTCACACCGCGCGTAAAACCAGGCACTCTTGCGCCCACCTCGAGCACTTCTAAAGGCGATCTCCCTAAAAAAAAAATGCCGCAAGCTGCTGGCCTGTGGCAGCCAAAGGACAAACAATGGTAGGAAACAGAAGTTTGTTGTGATTCGGAGGGAGGCTAAGCAAGCTGCCAGGGGCAGGAAGCGCAGCCACCATGTGAGCAGAACACCCTGTTCTTCAGGGCGACCAGCACCAACGTCGTTAATTACACGGGATACTCTGAGTAGGTACAACCACCTATTAACGTAGTACCTTGGCGTGCCGGCATCTGAAAGCGAAGCTGTAAAACAGACTTTGGATGGTGTGGTGGCAGCCACTACCCTGAGGAGCTCGACCACCACAGGCCCCGCCACCGGCCAGGGTTATCGGGGAGCAGCGGGGGCATTTCTGGCTGGGGGAGGGAGGCAAAGGGCTGGGAAAGCAGCTGGTAGCAACCCACAGCTTTCCCACCGGGTCTCACAGCGTTTCGTGTGGTAAAATTTTTTTCCTCCGTCGCCTGCAAAGGGCCGCGGTCAGGGAGAAGGAGCTCTCGAGCACCGAGAACGAGCCCCGCCAAGGTGAATTAATAATAACGGAGGGGTGGGACCGGCAAGGCGCCAGTTCTCCTCCTCCGGCGCCGGCCAGGCCGGGCGCAGCGAGCAGGTGCCAGGGCCGTCCCTCACACCTGCCGGCCGGCACGGCGGCCTCCCCGGGGAGGGGGTGGGCACCAGCGGTACCAAAAACGGGGCGAAAAGGGGACGGACGTCTACCCGCTGCGCGGAGCTAGAGGGCGGGGAGGAGAAAAACGAGCAACACCGGCGGGGCGGGGGCCGCGCCCAGGGGCGGGAGGGCGCGTGCGCGCAGGTAGGGGGGCGGAGCGAGCTGGTTGGGGCGGGAGGGGGGGTGGGCGGGGCCAAGGCGGCGGCCGCTGGGTCGTGAGTGGGCAGGGCGGCTGTCAATCGCGGAGAGGCGCGCGGCCGCCCGGCGTCGCGCGAGGGGCCTTGCCGTGATTGTGGGGGAAAAGCGGGGGGGGGGGGGGGGAGGGAGGAGAGGAGGAAACAAAAACAATCGCCCGGGCGCCGCCATCTTGGGTCCGTTCTCCACGCCACCCAAGTGAATGGGTAGATATGAAATTACCACAGGGGAGCAGCAACAGCAGCAGGGTACGGAGGGCTGTTCCGAGCTGCCAGCGGGACTCGGGGGACTCTAGAGACGGCTCCTGCCGCCGCCGCCGCCCAGAGAAAATCCCCCGGCTCGGCCTTTTCTCCTCGCCAACCCCTAAACTGCACTCCTGGAGGGACAAAGTTGGTCGCAGCCGCGCTGCCTCCGCCGCCCGGGAGACGAGAGAGTTGCGTTCAGCGGCGGCTTCCACGGAGCCGGGAGTGAGCCGGGGTCAGAGTTAGGGGAGAGGGTGACGAGGGGCTTCCTCCCCCCTCCGCCCGCTGCCCGCGGCTCGCTGTGTGGGGGACGCGAGGAGCAGGCAGCCGGAGCCCAGCAGGCTTTTCCTTTCCACCCCTGCTGCTTCTTATTCCTTGCTCCTAAAAGGAAAAAAAAAAGGAAAAAAAAAAAAAAAAAGAAAAAACTGGATTGAGGTTGGGGGTGGGTGGGTGGGTGGGGGGGGGGCTGCCTCGGGTCTGCGTTTGAACAGCAGCGGGGCGGGCGGAGGTGCGGCGAGAAAGAAATGTGTCCGTGAGGAGTTGGGAGAGGAGTGTGCATCAAGCAGAAGAGTCCCAAGCCTGCTTCGCGGGAGGAAGGAACCCGCCGCCCGGCAAGCCCTGTCCTCCTCCTCCTCCTTCTCCCCCGGTGCCCGCAGCCTGGCTCGCCTCCTCGCTTCCACAGCAGCCGAATTCCCCGAGAAACCCACCACTCCAGGAAGGATTTGCCACAAAGAACACATCACCCTCCCCAGCGGCTGGATACTGCGTTTATTTTTTATTTTTTTTATTTTTTTTTCAGTCACTTTTCTGTGTTTAAATACCAAATATAGCCTCTTGGGGAGGGGGGGGGGGGGGGGGGGGGGGGGGAGGGGGGCGAGGGGGTGGAAATCTCCTAGAAGAAATTGAAATCTTGCTGGGGTTGTACGGCGCGGGAGAAGGACGGCGGAACCGGGGCGAGAAGGGGAGATGAGCCGCTCTCGGTGACTGGCGGAAGGACTCGAGATTTGCCACTTTTCGGGAAACCCGAAGGTTGGTTTGTTATCAAACTTGTTTCTCCCCTTTTCTGGGTTATGCTAAATCCCTCAGCATTATTACAGAAAACCCAAGTGTTGCCCACGTGTAGCTAGCTGGTGGCTTTGCCTTTTTTTTTAAGGTAGTTTTTCCTCAACAAACTGACAGATTTTCCTCCCTTCACCCGGAGGCTTTTGAGATCTGAAACTGAAATGGAGCTACTTTTCTCCCAAACACTACATGTTGTATAAGGGGAGGCAGGACGAAAACATCGTGTTTACTGATTTCGATACGACTCCCCGACACTCGGCACCCACGGGGGATGCATCACGGAGCTTGATGTGGAAAAGAGTTGGAGTGTGCTCAGAGACTTCGTCGTGTCCAGCAGCTTAATTGTTGACTTTTTTTTTTTTTAAAGTGGATTCGTAGCATACTTTCATGAATTAAATTTTGCCACCGTTTGTACAGAAGCCAAATGACACGTGTGTTTTGAAACACGGTTCCAAATATATCCATCCCTCGACCCGGATTCTCGCTAGAAAGAGCCGGAGGGAGATCGTCAGCGTCTAAACAAATCTGATTTTACTGTTTTATGAACATTATCTGCTGCAGAAATGTTGCTATAGATTGCTTTATAACGGTTCAGCAAGAAGGGAGATTTTTTCCAGCTTGCAGGACCCAGGAAACTGGATACTTTAAGTCACTTAAATGTTTTAACAGCATTGGAAAATGGGAGCTGCTACTAAGTTGGCGTTCGCTGTTTTTCTTATCTCTTGTTCTTCAGGTAAGTGAATGGTCTTGGTTTTTAAACATAGGGCTTGGGGTCAGCACTTGAAAGCTTGAAGTAACTTTATCGATTAGTATGGATGAGGAGAAACTTTTTTTTAATGACAAATGTGTGGGCATGGCAGTGACTAAAGGCAGGAGCTGTTTTCATTGTTTTTCTTAAAAATGTGTCTAACACGGGTGCTTCAAACGCGTGCGGCGCTTGGAGTTCAGATCAGTTGTGTGGAACAAAGGTGGAGACATAACCACCTAGTGTCACATAGAGTAATCTGGCCGTGCAGTTATTGAAAACCGTGTTTCATGTTTTTTTTTTTTTTTTTTTTTTTTAAATAAGAAATAGCCAGCTGAAATACTTGTAACTTCAATTAGATCTCCTGTTCCAGACCATTCACTGCTGAATGGCAACCTTCATTAATGCTTCATTAGTTTAGAATAGGTACTGCTCTGAAAGCATAGCTCGTCCTTTAAAGGTATCAAGGGGTGTGTGCATGCATAGATTTATGTACAGAATTGGGCTTGAAAAGGCAGACTTTCAGTTTCTAAACAATAATTTGTAACTGTAATTTTGCTAATCAGCACTGACTTGTACTGCAAAAAAAAAGCTACTATTTTTCTCTGCAAAACAGCAGAAGTTGAGTTTCAGATGCCAGCTCAGAGTCCTGAGAAGCCAGCGGGGTGTAAGCACTTCCCCACGCTTCTTTAGCAGGAAAATTGTTACGGTAGCAACCAGTGGTTGGGGAAACTGTTGGGACATTTCTGCTTGAAGCTCCATCAGTTTCACAGAAAAACTATTATGAACTGTGTAGCTGATCTAATAGTAGTTTACACGGCAAGCCTGGCACTTTCTGCTTACCCTCTGAATGTGTATATAGTCCTGTGTGTAGGTTTAGATATGGTTTTCAGCGTTCTTGCACAGTGTGTGAAGGTATACTTGTTTACCAGTCTGAAAGCTAGCAGACAAGTGCTCTGCTTTTCAGTGTGACCGGTGTCAGGGAGTAATGAGATCCATATAACAATGCCTTTTAAAATTTCAGTGTTATAATGCTCAGGATTTTGCTGAACAGGACGTTTTCTTGTGGTTAGTAAATGGATAGTCTAGTCTTATGTCTGTAGCAGTATTGATCAATTCCGTGTGCACTAAATGTGCTGTGAAATGGCGAGCGTTGCCAGAAATAAACCAAAAAAATCCTTTCTGTTTTAACCAGAGAAATTACAGAGCAGGTTAAGGACAGACAGAGGTTTGGTTTGGTTTTTTGTTGGTTTATTTTATTTTTATTAGGGTATATGATTTATTCTTCTCTTGAAACAAAGCATGATTTCTTCTGACAGTTTTGTCTTGCAGGAGATGTCTTTCATCTTTTCCTAATACCTTATTTTTATGTTACTCGAGCAACATTCCTCTTAATTAGGGAATATTTTCTGCAGGAAAACTCCCTCCCCCCCCCCCCCCCCCCCACTCCACTGGCAGATTCTGAAAGACTTGATGCCATCTGCTCTTCATGTCTGTCTCTCCCTTCCATGTCCTATTAAGATCTTTTTGCCTAGAGCACAGAATAGTGATCTTGTTGACATTACCTATCCTACTTACTAAAAAGAGTGGTTAAGCAACAGAAGCTGTCTTTTCTTTGGCATTTCTTGCTCAGTTTGTTCTCGGTAAGGTAAAATGAGTGTTTCTCTTGCCTGTGAAGATGGAATTAATCTTTGCTAAATGAGCAGGAAACTGGCTGCAATTTGGACTGCTTCTCATGTTAATGACAGTGTTTTGGTGGTTATTCTAGTATTGCACATTGAGTGTTCTGGTATTTACCAATTATTAAACTATTTTCTACTCACCTAAAATTTTGGAGTATCTGCAGTCCTGGTGTAGGTCTAAAAATAAATTCAGCAGTAAGCTTTTGTCTTTATGATCAAAATTATAAGATTATGTAAGCTTCTAGCACACAGTACAGACATCTTGATATGTAGTGTTTATTGTCTTAACTGTGACTTTTTTTGGTTTAAAACCGTACTCAATCGGTTGATTCTAACATCATCATAAGTTTCTTTTCTAGTCTTTAGTCTGAAAAAAAAGTCTGCGCGGGCTATATATTTAACAGTATTGGCAATGGTTGAAGTAATACCAGAGTTCAGGTGTGAAGATGTCTGGTTTGTCTTTCTCTGGTATGCAGTCTCCAACTACTCCAGGTACAAGTGTGTGTGTTGGGGAGTGGGGGTGTTGGTTTTCTCAGTTTATTTTTATATGCAACTATTTTCTGCAGTTGTTTACATAGACAATTAATACTAGTGTTCCTTAAATAGGTGAAAATGTTGTGGTTTGTTTTTTGTTTTTTTTTTTTTTTTTTTTTTTCCCAATGTGATAGGTGTGGAAGCGGTCTTTAGGTTGAAGGCATTTTATTTTGCTACCCATAAACTGCTATATGAAATGCTGTAAATGGACCTCAAATGGATAGGAATTTCTATCAAATCTAATAATTAATCTTTGGAAAGGGAGTGAAAATATTTCCTCTTTCTGACTAAGATATTTGAAAAAGAGCATCTGTGTTATGTTATCAGGCTTTACAGTATTTGTAGATGCTTGGATAAAAGTGGGTGTAGCTTTGCACCCATATGTACTAATTCAAGAGAATGAGATGAATGTGTATTAACCAAACATGGAAACAAAGTACCTGGTTCAAGGTTCTCCATGTGCCCTCTAATATACTTTTTATATAAACCTGTGTGCATTTTTGATTTAATAAAGAACAGAAGATGCTGAGGTAGTAATACTTATGAGCAATTAAATATGCTTCCTGTGCTTCCCCTGTAGGTGAGGCAGGATTGTAGGTAAGCTTGAAAAAGGAAAATAGTAAATGGAATAGCTTGCTCATCAAAGAACACTTCTCCTTAGATATTATCTATGTTTTCCCCTCCCCCAAGAAAGTGTGTTTCTCTGTCCTCTAGTTTTTGTCAGATTATACTTTATGAAATTTCAGGAACAAAGAATGTATACTTTCATAATTTTCTGTGATGTTTCAGAATATGTACCCCCTGGAGCTGTAAATGTGGGAGATACTGTAGTAGTGGATTGTCTTCAACCAAAATCTTCTGTTGTGGGTGCTATGGTTTTGTTACTCTTAAACTCCGTAATTTCCCAAACTATAATTTCTTCTCTTCTGAGCTACCTACTCTGTCTTTGGGACCTGGATGGTTCATCATCAAAGTAGTTCTGCAGCTCTAAGTTTCTTACAGGGGACAAGACCTATATGTGTTAAAACTCACTTAAGCTAAATTTATGCTAAAAATCACCTAAGTGAAAGGAAGCACATCAGGAAAGTCTCGGCCTTCTCTTTCTTTCTTAATGCCAGATCATTCTCAAGCCACTCAGAAGGTCTTGAGTAATTTTGCTGAAGGAAATTACATGTTAAAGATACCTTTGTAGTTGAAGTAACATTTTTACTGCACAGGAACGTTTTATTCTTTGATTTTTAATTTATTTTTCTCCTGTCTCCCACTGATTATTATCAGGGGAAATGATTTTTTTTTTTTTTTTTTTTTTTTTTTTTTTTTGGTAATTATTTTTTCCCCAAAAAGTCTGGATAGAGCTGTAGAGGCCAAGATACTGCTGCGGCTCCAGAAGCTGAATGGTTAGGTGTTCTGAAGGAACTGAGGAGTGGGAGGTGAGACTTTTATTCTTTAATTTTACTAGTGTAAGGTTTTTTGACTGTCCTTTCCTTAGTAATTTGGTAGCACTTGAAAATCCTGCCGGAGGTTTAGGAGCATTGTTTGTGAAATTGTGTCTGCTGGTATGCTCTCTGCAAGCTGCCTGTGATTGTGGTTGAACTCTAATCGCTTTATTGCACAGGCAGAGCAATAAAACACTCCAGAGAGTACTGCTTTAAAGTCCTGTCCTGCTCAAGATTCCTTTTTTATAAGAGCATATGCTTTTTTGTATTAAGTGTGTTATCATTGGGCAATACCCCAACGCTCTTGATGTTGCTGTTCAGGGCAGGACTTGTAAACCTACTTAATACTGTTTTCAAGCATCCATATGTTTATGTAGGTTTGAATGTTATGTAGTTTACAAAGTTTCATGGCTTCAGGTTGATGTTGTAACTTTGATTACAGGTCAAAATTCTGTTACTATGTAATCTGTTAATACTTAACAAGAGTTACAAACCCTAAATCTTTAAGTTAGGAAAAATAGCTGTATGTGTTCTTAATGGAATATTAGAACATGTAATCATAGTTCTAGTAGAACTCTGCTTGACAAATGTTTCTGAGAAGGTGCTGCTGTCATGAGTTTATTTCCATATCTGCCCTTCAGACACAAGTGTTTTTGCATAGAAAAAGCTTGAAGAAGTTTGTCCTCAAATGCTGGTTGCTCTGTAAGTTGGTGGGGGGAGGTGTTCTATGTGAGGGGAAAGCTGTTTTCCGCTATATGGGGGTGCAAGAAGGCAATTACTGTGATCATGAATAATAGTTTTCAGCTGATTTTAATGAAGAGTATTTGAATGCCATTTCTTTTTTTGTTTCCTCCCCCCCTTTCCCCCCCTCCCCCGAAATTCGGAGGTGAAATTCCTTAGGTGATAGGTTTGGATGACTTGCAAATGAGGATAGAAAAATACTTTTATTTTTTCTTCTCTGTTTAACTGTAGAGATTAATTTTTGTCATATCATGAGTTTTAGGTGGGGGGGGAAAACTAACAGTAACTCCAGTGTTTTTCATTTTTACTGATTCTACCTTCTCTTCCAACCTTTTACACTTCTAGGTTTAACAATGCCTGGCTTTCAACTCCCATAGCTTACTTCTCTCTGAAATTGGAATTCAGTTCTATTTCATATCATCATTATGAAGTTTATATGTATAGTGTCTGGATCTCTTAAAAGATAGTAGTCATTGTTATTCACAGATAAATGTGCTGGACAGAGCAGGCAACAGTAGTCTTTTGAAGACCTATATATGAATCTGAGCAAAGATATAGCAAGTCCTGGGTACATATCCTTGGGAAATCATCTGGA